CAGGAATTCTTGCTAGATAAAAGTACTGCTTTTGTGTGGGTGACTTAATTCTTGCAATTTTGTATCTTCAAAGACTAAGTATTAGTACAATTCATAATAAATTTACCTCATTTCTAATTGCAAGCTTTTCTTCACTACTTTTTTTTTTTTCCACCTTTGTGATCTAGGTACATATTCAAACTTATATAATCACCCAACACTTATTAAGGAGCCATCAAAGGTAAAATTGTTAAACTTACTCTAAATAACAACCTGGCCTGGGAAAACTTGAGACAGAAGAGTTTATTTTCTTAATGGATATCTGTTTTTAAAAGGAACAGGGAGCAGGAAAGAGGGTTGGGGAGGGTGTTAGCCTCTGGTATTCCTTCTTCACTGAAGAGGGGTTTGGATGTATTTTTTTCTGTTTGAAGGAAAATTGAGTAAGTTCAAAATTTCTGTAATAGGTAGGCAGAAAGGTAGAGAGCAAGGAATTTACTTTGTTGTTATCTATGACAGACTTTTGTGTAGTCTGTGTCTCACAACCACATACTAGGGCTTTTTCTTTAAAATAAGCTTCTGTTTCTTTTTTGCAGTTTGAAACAATTTATTCTAGTTTTTTGGCCTTCCAGATGTTCCCCATCATTAGAGCACAACTTGATGTTGCAGATGTGTGAGATTTTGAAAGGAAACCTTTTTCTTGAAAGCTTATAAAGAAATATTAAGTGCCTATTTAAGTTCTTTTTTTTTTTTTTTGCTAATATTTAAATAAAAGGGAGAAACTTTTTATTGTTCTAGGAGGCCAGGTTCTGCTCACAGGTGTGTTTGATTTCTTACTTTGGGGTTAATGTGTATTTTTCTCAGGGAAGAAAATAGTATGAGGAAAATTACATGTTTATTACTGTTAAATCTGAATCTAATGTTTTTATACTGACAAGGCAGTGTGATGTGCACTTCTTGGAGAGAAAGCTGGGGACCATTAATACATATGTGCTGTCTATTTTAGCCCAAACCAATAAAAATTTCCCAGAAGACCGGAATTCCTCTGCATGTCTTGCCTCAGAAAGGTCTTACTGCTAAGCAGATTGAACGCATGCAAATGATTAATGGCAGTGATCTGCCAAGAGCCTCCACACAGCCCCGTTCCAAAGATGAGAGCAAAGAGGATCGCAAAGCTAGAAAACAGGCAATAAAAGAGGAGCGAAAGGTATGCCTTATTTTAAATAAAACCCTGCAAAAACACCTTATGTTACCTGAGTTCTGTTTTATGAACTGTTTTTAAAGCTCGTTTGTTCTTGTGTCTGGAAATTGGAGTTGGAAAAACATACTGGTCTCAAAGGACTAATTGCTTCCTAAAAAAAAAAATACTGGAAAGAAAGTTAACCTCATAATTTTGTCATCCTGATGTCCTATGTGGAAGTTTTGGTCTGTCATTGTGGCCACATTACACACATAACTTTGGAAGGAGCCCTCATATTTCCTTATTACCTAGGGAAGCAGAGAAAACGGTTGCGATGTTTCAGATCACACAAAGTGAAAAGTCTCTGAAAGAAATGTGGAAAATGTAATTGACCACAATAATTGTTTTATTTAGGAACAGAAATTGCCAGCCTATTAGAAGCTTCAGCTAATTAAGGATAATAATCCTGGTGGTATGCATATTAATTTGACTACTCATAATTAGTGCCATAAATAACAGTATTGTCCAGAATGCTGCTGTTTTCATGATCTGGGACTGTTAATTAGAATGGTTTCTTTTTGCATGTTATATCTACTTTGTAAATTTGTAATTGTTTGTATGCACAGGAACGCAGAATGGAGAAGAAAGCCAACAAGCTGGCCTTCAAATTGGAGAAAACGAGGCAAGAAAAGGAGTTGCTCAATCTGAAACAAAACGTTCAAGGACTGAAACTGTCTTGATGAAACTGAGGAAGTTATTGTGGAAAGATCCTCCAGTTTTCATTTGTATTGAGAAGGGAACTGCGAACTCCTAGCTTTGCCAGTCCTGTTCAGAGGGGTTTATTCAGATGTTACTGTAACAAGAACCAGTAACTCGTCATTCTTTCTGAAATGGAGTTGTACATAAGCCAATGGATTAGTGGTGTCTGTTCTGTCATGACTGACATGGCAACTGTTGCCAAGTTTCATTATGGTAGAAATGTGTTAAAATTATAAAAAAATATTTTTCTTACAAGCTATCACTGGACAAATTTTTATATGTATTTGTTGAATGTATTCAACAAATCAGCAGAATCCTACAGATTTTATCAGATTAGATTCTTCTATTAAATTATTTCTGTTTACAAACCAATATATCCATTTATGTCTTCTCTCCTTTATACTGATGGCTAAATATAGTGCCTTGATATACCACAGTTCTGTGAGTCATGGAGTTTTCACCCACTCCTTAGTTCTTTTCTGGGTTGGTTATTTATTGTTTGGGTACTATTATGAAAGATGTAAAATACCTATTTTGTAAACAGAGGTGTCTGAGAAGCTGTTGTGTAGCTAGACATCCCTGTTACCTAACCCGAGTTTCACATTTCTTGGCTTCCTAAATCTGTTGCAACACATGTTGCAGTTGCAGTAGTCAATGACCCTTGCTGTTGCCATTGAATGAAATCAACTTTGCTGAAAGTACTCAGCCCGAGTAGTACAGCAAACAAAACAGCAGGCACTTGGAAAAATACTGTATGTTGCAAACAGCTATTGTCTTGATTTTCCTGAAGTATTATTCTTCTAAGTCTTGCATTCAGTTTGGTTTCATTGAAATACAAACTTGGGACCCACCACAATTGTTGCAAAGGCTTTCTGAAGGTGAGCAGAGGATCGGTGTCTTGAGGCTTGGTGTGATCTTAGATTTCTGTCCTGTGCATGTGAATTGTTCTGATAGTGACCAGTCCATACATGGGAATGAAATGAAGAGGATTTGTAGTCAATCATTATGAGTCCTTCTGTATTCATAAGAAACCCTCAGCTTTAGGCCGTCAGGACTATCGACTGAGCAATCTTCTGCCTTTGGGTGAAAAGTTAACCATTTTACTGCTCAGAAAGCTGAGTTATCGATGCAGTATTCACATCTAGATTAAGCCTTCTTTTTTCTAAAACTGTTCAAGAGTCTGTGTTAACCAAACAAGTAGAAATTGCCTGTAAGCTTAGAACAAGTTTCAGGGTTTTCATTTAGCTGATACCTGTACTAGTTTTTGTATGTTTCACAGGCCTAAGCAGGGCCACCTCTGTCATAATCGTTAATTATGTAATTGCTGAAGTATGGTAACTTGAATTGTGAGCTTTTGAGTAATGAAGACTGGCCACCTGGTACTTGTGACTCCTGACAACAACGCAGGAGAGGGAGTTTGAGAAACCATTCTATTGAGATGAGTCAGATACCAGGAAAGGACTTAAATGGAACAAGTGAGTAACAGATGCTGTTCAGTGGTTTGGGTGGAATGTGATTTTGTGATTTACTGAAGAGGAAAATATTTTACTAAAGACAGTGCACATGTTCTTTGCTAGTCCTTAACTCATCTGCTGTTGTACATTCAAAAGTAACTAATCTTCTGTGGCAAATGGTCAGTTTTCCTGACTTCTCATTGCTGATTCAGGGCTACTGTGCTTGCACCTAAATTCCTTCTTTTTTTTAAAAAAAAAAAAAAAGAAAAGAAAAAAGAAAGCTGTATCAGTCAAAAGCTTGAGAGGATGAGAACAGAATAAAAGGGGTAGTGGAGGAGGAGGATGCTTGAAAGGAAGAGTCCAGACTAGCACAGGCACACAGAAAGATGTTGCTTGGGAACAAAAGAGGAAAGACATTTAAACAGAGGCAATAGAGTAAGAATCAAAAAGTTTATAGGTTGCTCTGTTCCTCTACACTTGTAATCAATGAAACACTGTAGGAACCTTAACTCCGTGCCTCGGAGTGTGGTAACATCTGAAGGAGAAGGTAAGAAACAACAGCAGTCACATCTGCTTCTGCTCAGCTAGGCAAGGACTTCTCTTGTTCCAGCAAGAGCAGGTAAGGAACACTTAAATAAGAAGTCTTTCCCTCCGTTGGTTACAAGTGTCATGAAAAGGGCTCTTTGTTATTGTTCAAGCTCTCCTAAAAGCTCCTTTTTAATACAAGTAATATTGCTTCTCTGAAATGAGAATACGTGGCTGCCATTGGAGTTGGAAAGGCTTAAAACTACTTTCCCTGTAACTTAAAAACCTATTTAAAAATTATTTTAAAAAAAAATCCCAACAAATTTGGTATCTACAAAGTAAGGTCATGTGGAATGCTGTTTAGCATGTCATGGAAACATTCTGTCTTGGGAATGAAGATTGTGTCACACTTGGTGTGCCACCTGCCGCTTCCTGCAGTGGTGATGGTTCACCCTGAGCCATTACAGGGCATCACTGGCTCCCGGTCTTACTTAGGAACCAAATGGAATAAATCCGGGTGCAGATGACCTGATCATGCCTTCCAGCACCCCTCCCTCAGTTTAGGCAGCAATGAACCCGAGTACTCTTCCATCGTCTTCTTACCCAAGCGTGATGCTGGTGTGAAAGGATGTACCTGAGCAGTCACGTGGAAAACAAAAAGCTGTCTGTCATAGTAAAGGAGAGCTTGTGCTTCACAGGAACAAGATAAATTCGGCAGTTCTGCAAAAAGGGAGCCCTGGCACGTGGCTATAGACGTCCCTTTCTGACAACAAAATACTGTTTCAGCAAGGGCTCACTCCAAACGCTGACTCTGCTGTAGTCAAGCCCTCCCGTACTGTGTAACCGCGATTCTTGCGTGGTTTGAATTTTACACAGCTGCCCAAAGTCAAGATCTGGCTCCTTGGACAACCTGTGGAAGAAATTTTGCACAAGATGTTCTGGTAATTTATTTTTTTTTCTTTCTTAATGAGAGTGTCAATGCATTTGGCTGCAAGGGGTGGTGAACACTGGGGAAGGAGGAGGTGGCTGCTAGAAGAAAAATGGGTTGAACACATGTTTAGAAGAGCAAATGATCTAATAACTGCTTTCATTAGTGAATTTGATCAGAGAATTAATGAACATAACACAGAAATAGCGTGACTTAATCTGCAATCTTACATTATCATAATTTGCTTGCTTGTCCAAAACCAGATGTTTACTACATGTTGTTTTTAAAATAACATATTATCTTTTGGTGAGACATAAATTACTAACCTGAAGCTTCCTTTGTGTTCCAGGTTTCTAGGCAGAATTTATTATTTCAGACTTCCTGGGAAAAATAGACTAATAAACCATCTGATAAGTAGTCCCTTTGACAGCATAATGTGGGCACCAGGCTCTGTTCCAAAGCCTGCTGAAGTGAATGAAAAGATTTCCCCCTGACCTCCCTGATCCCTGGATTACAAACTAAATGGGTGGCTGCACAGTTTGCCGGGCACAACCCAACTGCGGGGTTTTTCTGCAAGGCGGGGGCTCTGCGCGCACCCCTCCCCTCCTCAGTTTGCATTACTGGTCCTGTTGTTCTGTGGTAGGTCCAATCAGCCCCACGATGGAACTGAAAATTGATTTAGCAAAAAAAAAAAAAAGACAAGAAAAATACACTGGAAGCTGAGTAACTACAAGCACTGAGATGAAGGTGAAACTGCCCCATGTTAGCAGTTCCACATTTGGTAGATCAGATATATGAAGACCATTATAGTTTAATCTAGCAAAATAATTTGAAAAAGACAGCTATCTGTGTTTTTGGGAGGTGGGGAGATTCTTGTTACAATGACTAGTGTGAGATACAAGTCCTGTAATGCCCCTTTGTGATGCAAGACTGGTGTGCTCTTTGGTGAGCAAGACAGCTATCTGCTGCCCTCTTGGTCCTGCAGAGGAATCCTTCTCTCAAGTTTGCTGTCAAAAATGTCTAGAAACACAAGATAAGGAGCTGAAGCACATGAGTAGAAGGTTCAAAGGGAAGCGAGAATTCAGAAACGTGTGTTGTAGTAGAATGAGGTGCTTTTTGGCCCATCTGAGCTGTAACCAAAATGCCTCGCTCAGGCAGCCGCTTAACTCCTACGGGAAGAGAGTGGATAGCACAGAGAAATTAATGAGAGCTCCAGAAGAATAACTGAGAACTGGAAAGGGGGAGTAAGCAAAGGAAGGTAGGAATGGGGTCTTTAATTTACCAGCTACAGATGAGCTCAAGTAAGTATGATCCACAGCAGAAGAGAGAGGATGTAGCTTGGCCCTGACTTTCACAGTGTTCCTCATAAGCAGGTTTGTCTATCCTGTTGCAGAAGAATGAGGTTGATGCTAAAATCTGAGACTCTTCTGAACTTTAAAACCTCCTTTGTTGTGAGGCTGTTCCACAAATTTGGCATTGGATATCTATCTACCTATGATTTCCCCCTGCTTTCAGTGGCACGTGTTAGCCTGATTTTCCTCCCAAGTTGTTAGGTTACGTGTGCTGGCAAGTGGCTGCTCCCTTTTCTGTGATGCTGATGGGGTGGATGGACAATGCTGCTGTTTGTCAGGGGAGCTCCCAGCCTGGAATACTGACCTAAACTCGAAGAGCTAATAATGTAAGTGTTGGCTCCTTGAACGAGATCAGTCTGTTCTCCTCCTTAACCAAGAAAGAAAGAAAAACGAGTGTGGTGATGGTGGTGTTACAGGGGGAGTCCAATGGGACTGTTCCTCTTCACAGACCCACTATGTTCTTCTCTGCAACTCATTATTTGTGCTGGCCTCCAGCATGTCCCTGAGCAGGACAAACTGGAAGTGGCTTCTATTTCTTGTTTGTGTCAAACTGCAGCTGTACTTGGACAGCTTTTTAAAGTTTTGCTAAACTCCTTCAGGAGTTAAACTGAACCTGAAATAAATACTGCTTCAGCTCCCTGCTCCTGGATAGAAGTAATTTTAAAGCCTGGGTAAGGAAGCATCATTAGCAAAGCATGACTTCAGCCCATAAATGATGGTTTTTCCTTGCATCCCAGCTGAGACATGATCCAATATGCAATAAAGTCTTCAAAAGAAGCACAAGACTTTCAGCTCTTTGAAACAGAGACTGCAGGGAACAGAAATCACCACTGTGAAGAAGCAGTTCCCGCAAAAGGTACAGTTAAAATCGAAGCACGTGTGTTATCTCCATATGAAATCTTTCATTCAGTAATGCTATTGTTTCCTCCAGGGACAAAGCCTGGATGTGGTGGATGAGTCTCACATACGTGCTTGACTTGGTGCCAAGTTCTTTCCCACCACTCCCTGTGCTGCTAGTATTTGAGACTATTTCTTCATTCAGAAGCCAAACCAGTAGGTGTCATGACTCTTCTGGGCACCTGAGTGTCTCTGCTCCTTTAGGAAATGTTCATGTATGTATTTTAAAGATGATGCAAATCTCTGACAGCTTCCTTTTCACTTAAATCTGTAAGAGAGCATGATCCAAGATGGTTGGTGCATGAATGCCCCAGGTTGAACCTGGGAGCTGTCAGTAGCCCCAAATTTTCCATGGATGAAGCTGTGGAGATTCACTACTATTGAACTCAAGGGTTTAAAAATGTATTTAAATTGAACTTATTTAAAGAGCTGGAGGGGAAGAGGCTTAAGCTCTTACTGAAACAAGCTTTTTTTTCATGCAATGCTGAGGAGGAGGGGAGACACATGGACGTGCATGTGTACAATTTTACCGATAAGTGCCCAATCACTGCTGAGTTGATATTCATGCAGACTGCCGATGTAAAATGTCATTTAAAATCAGTTGTGGAATGAAACTGAAGTATACAAAGGTTTAAAGCAAGAAGAGGAATCTGACAAATGGAGGAGAAGGGAATGCGTTGGTCATAATGTCTTTCCTATTCCCTCTTATATGCCCTTTGGTCTGCCATGACCAGAGCGTGTTGTTGGAGGGGTTTGTTCTTTTATCCATCTTCTAATGCTTTCAATAGATGGCAAAGGACTAAATCAGCTTTCCTATGTCTTTGTAAAAAAGCAAATTTATTTTGTTTGTAATGTTTTTCCTTTCCCTCAGAAAGGAAGAACACTCACTCTAAGATTTTTCTCTATCCCTTGCAAGGGGGAAATACAGTTTGTGTCTTCCCTTATTTCCATTACAGAAACAACCAGCAAAGAACTATAACTGGAGGCAGCACCATGAGGATTTTTATTAATGCTATTCAATCAGCCAAGCAGGTCACAAGAGCTCTGAAGGAAGGACACCCTCTTCTGCCTCTTCCTCACCAAGTATCAGTTCAGGTTTGTGGTCTATCTAATTCCTGGTTTTGTACTGATCAGTACAGTGCAGTGAGTTCTTATTGTTCACAGCTGGGCTTCAGTTTTGCACCCCCCAGCACAACACAGTGTGAACTTTAACTCTCTCCATACTCTCTGTTTTTCAGCTGTATTTCTTGGCTTAAATTGAGCAGGAGTGCAATGCAGAGGTGGGGGGAGGAAGAGAAAGCTAACTTCACCTTTTAAGTTTAAAGGCAGCAAATTTGGGGTCTAATATTAAGCAGTGCTTTGGGAGGAGAGTCAGGGTGCCTGTGTTCTAGTGCAGGCTGTCCCGCAGTGACAGAGGGTGAAATGCACCCTCTCAGCGTTCAAAACCACTGTAGTGCACATGGGCTTCCCCACTCCAAAGTGGTGGCTTTTCTACTGTCCCCTTCTCCTGTCTAGTTAGGGGACATCTGTTAGAAAAAGACAGGTCTGGTTTACTACTAATACCAGGTGTGGTCTCTGCACAGAGCTGACTGTGTTAGAAGTTACAGATCTGAAAAGATGCACATGCAGCCAGTATTTCTCAGGATATGTGATTTATGAAACGTAGGAGCAATCTTGGAAAGGGTCTCAGTGGAGTTTTTGCCTGCATTAGGAAGGCGTGGGGAGGGAGGGGGAAGGGGGGGGCTCCTTGGGCTCACTTCCAGAGCAGGAATTCGTGACTGATAGCAAAACCATCTGCTGTGATTCCAGCCTTTCTCCACTTCTAGATGACAGCGACCCAGTATAAGCAACAGGACACATCTTCCTTCCTTGATTGGGGTCAAGCTCCTCTCTGAATTCCCACTGCTGAGTTCTTTAATGACTCTGTTGTTTCTTGTTTGACTCTACCAACTCTAAGAGCAGACCCCTCCCTTTCCTTCTCTGTCTTGGAGGAAACCAAGCTGTGCAAGAACAGCAGTAGTTGTGGAGAAAGGAACTGAGAACAGCTTTTTAGGAAAGACAAATTGCTGAGGGGCCTCATGAGGATGTATATCCTGTATTACAGAACTGAAAAGAAAGCACATGGATTGTGGGGAGGAGAGGCAGATATTCTCCTTCCCTCTCTTCCTCCTTCAAATAGAGCCCCAAGCTTCCCATTTTCCCCTGAAGTGCCAGGTCCCCCTGCCAGCCCCCCAAAGCCAGGCATCTGCCCTGTCTTGTCCTCCCCTCCTGTCCTCAGAAACACTTTGCCCATGCTCCTGGTCTGGGGCTGGCTTTTGTTAGCTTCTTGGGCCACCTTTTCTGGGCTGTTACAGGGAGAAATGATTTGTAATATTAGGATAAGGACACTGGGCTTGCTTTTGTAAAAGGCACTTGGTGGGGAGAAAGGGTCTGAGGACAGCAAGGGCAGCGTGAGGGCTGAATGTGACTGTGTTGAATCAAAACACCAACTGTTCATTGAAACAAGTAGGACTGCACTAGTAGTAAATGTATCTGAACAGCTTTTTGCAGAATTAGGACTCGAACACTGTCAAAAACAATGGTAGGAAGCACTGCTGTGTGTTCTTCACAACGCTGCTTCACACCCAGGAACCTGGCTCTTGGATGTGCCTCAGTTGATGGGGCACAACTTCTTAAGCAGTATTTTGTCAATGTCCAAAGGAAATGGATTTTGTGAAAACTGCTAACAATCTTAATGACCAATCTTCAAAAGTAGTGTTAAAATCATTGGTGTGGACTGCTTGAGGAATTTCTGAATATCGCTTTTTCTGCAGATGTGTTAATTGTGAGGTTGGGGGTGGGCATAGGACAAAGATAATAAAATCTGCTTTTATTAGTCCCCAGGGATTTATTTCTGAAAGCAATTACTGTTCACTGGGTTAATACCATAAGCATGTATTTTGGGGTTCAAAGTGCTTTTCTAGAGGAGGTTTTTCTAGTTCTCCTAAGTTTGTGGGAGCTCATGGGAACTCACCATGGTCACGTGCTGATGGAGCCAGATTTTGAACTATATCTTGAGTGCCTCAGTAAAGCAGGGCAATTCGTCTGTAGTGTATAAACTGTGATAGAAGTTATTCCTGTCTCATGATCAGACTAGATTCAGTGTCCTCACTGCTCACAAATGTTTAATGAGGCTGCAGCAAAGAGGCACATGAAGTTTTGTGAAGAACAAGGTGCCCACCGTGCCTTTGCTGCAAAGACCACTGGACAGGCTTTGGTAAGCAAAGTCACACTTGTCTTGTCCTGGAGGCAGAGCTACCAAACTGTAGTTTATGGTGAGTAAGGACCTATATTAATGTAAAACCTAAGACTCCAGGGAAGTTGGTAAATTCCTAAGACAAGATTCATGCTGAACATCATCTGGGAATTCCCTGAAACTGAAGCCCTTTGTCTGATATAAAAAGTGACAGAATATGATAGTACGAAAAAGTTGGACAGCAATTTCTTCAGACTCTTCTGCTTTTGGCTTCCAGGGTAACAGCTGTAGGGAAGCAGAAACCTGGCAGCTTTTGCAATGTAGGGAGAAAACTCTTCCTGTCCATGAGGGCTCCCTGCTGTTTGCAGGTTTGCTGTTCCCTGTGAATGTATGGCTGATTTACTTTGGTTATTAGACACAAGGCCAAAGGGCTAAGCCCCTTTGGGGAATCAGAAAAGTGGAGCTAGTTGGCAGTGTCTTGAAGTGAGCCTATTTTATTATAGAAAAAAAAAAAAGTAAACAGTTCCTTTAGGAGAGTACAGTTTCATTTGGTTTTTTGTTTGTTTGTTTTAAGATGTTTGAAAATCTTATTACCGTTTTAGATACTTTGGGCAGGAAAAATGGCTTCCAAGTGCACCTTTTTCCTGTTCTTTCCTAGCACTGCTTCAACAGCAATTTGGGGAGTTGTCCAAACTGGGCTCCGTAAGCTCCTTGCTAGAGTTGAGTGTGGATTGTGGATCCTCTTTTACCAGGGCAAGCAACCAGTGACTCAGAGAAAACCCCCAACCTTAAAAGCTGCTGTGTTATCGCTTCAGAATAGAATACAAGAAGGTGCCAATACAGACAAACCTATGCCAGGTAAGGAGCTAATTTAGCCATATTTATATTTTTCTTATAACAAACTCTGTCATATTTAAGGTGGAAGGCAGCATTTTAAAAGCAGACCCCAGGCTCTGGAATTCAGTTTTCTGACAGAATCATAAAGTGGTTTGTTCTGTTGGGTTTTTTTGTTGTTGTTGGTTTTTTGTTTGTTTGTTTGGTTGGTTTTTTTTGCAAGTCCAGGACTTGTGTGCTGGTTTTGGCTGAGATAAAGTTAATTTTCTACATAGTAGCTAGCTAGCATGGAGCTATGTTTTGGATTTGTGCTGAAAACTGTTGATGCTGGGATGTTTTCATTATTGGTGAGCAGTGCTTACGCAATGTCAAGGCCTTTTCCTCTCACACCACCCCACCAGTGCATAGGCTGGGAGGGGCACAACAAGTTGGGAGGGGACACAGGTGGGACAGCTGACCCCAACTGACCAAAGGGATATTCCTTACCATGTGACATTGTGCTCAGCATGTAAAGCTGGGGGAAGAAGAAAGAAGAGGGGGTACGTTCAGAGTAATGGTGTTTATCTTCCCAAGTAACCATTACACGTGATGGAGCCCTGCTGTCCTGGAGATGGCTGAACACCTGCCTGACAATGGGAAGTAGTGAATGAATTCCTTGTTTTGCTTTGTTTGCACACACGGCTTTTGCTTTACCTGTTAAATTGTCTTTATCTCAACCCATGAGTTTTCTCTCCGATTCTCTCCCAATCCCACTGTGGGGCCTAAGCGAGCGGCTGGGTGGTGCTTGGTTGCCAGCTGGGGTTAAGCCATGGTACCTTGACATGAAATCCTAAACTCGTTTCCATACAACCCTTATCAGAAATGAGAAGGGTCAAAAATTTCCGAATGGATGTTGTTGATATCGAATGGCTTTCCAAGTCATTATCCTGATTTGTTGTGCCGAGTATATACACAGAGTTTTTCATGTGGGTTCTTGGGAGGGGCTTCCTAGCCTGTTTCAACTAGAGGTCCTCAAACAGATGTCTCTATATAGACCTAAAATATGCAGTCTGGGTGTGAGGTTCCTTCTGTCCCATAAAGGACTCCATAGCCGTTAATCTTCGGTGTTAAGATTTACTCCATCTCCTTTAACTTTTCTTAAATCCATTTAGATGAAGCATAGAGCTTTGTATCTTGTTTGTTCCATATGACTTGCCCTGTTGATTCAGCCTTAAAATTAACCCCACCACTTCCCTAGACCAGTTCCCTCTAAGCAAGATACCACATAACATGTTTACTAGCACTCATTGCTACTGGTAATTATGACTCTTACTCAGTCTGTATTTAGAAGATGTTTTATAAAATTATTTTAGTGGTTATTTCTAGTACAATCTGTAGTATAATACATACTGCTTTTTTTATCAATATCTTTAATCTATATTTCTGGGTTTTATACTGCATTTATGTAGGTTATATTTTTTAATGGAAAATTAATTTTTTAAATAATGATCTGCAGAGACATCTCCAGGAATACTGCAGAAATCCAGAAAATCTCTGGGTGTATCTACTGGAAAAAATCTTCAGGAAAGTTTGGGTAAGAAATATTTCTTTATTTCAACATTATAACATAAAAGGACCTTGTTTGCTTTTGTGTATATACAGTATCCTGTTGCTGTGTTTGCAGTATGAATCCCTTTGTATTAACTGAAGCAATCAATTGCACTGAAGACTTTTGCAGAGCTCCTCGTGTCCCCAGAATCAGCTGCTGAGAATATTCATTTTGGTATTAAATGTTCTTTGGTTTGGAGCAGCTCCATCTTAAGCAGACAGTGGTTGTGTTCTGCCATGACAGGCATCTTGAGAGGATTTGCTGCTTGACAGTGCAAACCTCTCTAGCAAGTCTTGTGCTCTCAACATCTGCTTCCATTGTCCAAGTGAGGAAGGTGCCATCATCCATTTCAATAATTGCCATACCAGGATGACAGTGTGGAGGTTCTTCATTCTCCTCAACGTTTACTTTCCCAGACCATGTTTGATGCTTCTGCTCTTCAGACCATGCAGTCAGTGTTATTCCCATCTCAGACCACATGGAGCCACGTCAGAGCAGCAAGAAGGCCTTCCAGCCCCTGCGTAAGGTGGTTGTGCTCTTGTGCGAGGGGGTGGCTCAGATGATCAGCATCAGTGGTGGTCCTTCAACTGGAGCATGTCCAGAGAAGGGCAACAAAGCTGGTGAAGGGTCTAGAGCGCGTGTCTTATGAGGAGCAGCTGAGAGAGCTGGGGTTGTTAAGCCTGGAGAGAAGGAGACTGAGGGGAGACCTTATTGGTCTCTACAAACACTTGAAAGGAGGGTGTAGAGAAGTGGAGGTTGGTCTGTTCAACCAAGTGACAGGACAAGACAAAATGGCCTCAAGTTGCACCAAGGGAAGTTCAGATTGGCTATAAAGAGTTCTCAGGCATTGGAATCGGTTGCCCAGGGCAGTGGTGGAGTCCCAATACCTGGAGGTATTTAAGAGTCATGTAGACATAGTGCTTGGGGGCCTCAGAGACATGGTTTTGTCAAGGACTTGTCAGTGTTAAGTTAATGATTGGACTCTATGATCTTAAAGGTCTTTTCCAATCTAGGTAATTCTGTGATTCTGTGAACTGTGGGGAAGTCTGCAATGGGTATGGGAGTGTCTGGTCCACATGCCATCATCAACTCTACCTACCTCCTTCACTTGCCAGCTACAGGAAAAACTGTTGACAGCAGCTAGTGGTCTCATCTGGTATTCTCCACTTCCCAGATTACCTGTGACTATGTTAACAGTGTAGTAACTCTTATGGTCATCAGGCAGGGTCTTGCAGACCACCAACAGGGATTCAATTATACCATCACCAATCTCAAGGTTCCGCTGCTGAACTCTCAAACTTGGGGCCTGACAGGCTTGGGGAGTAGACACTTTCCCTAAGGACACTGGTGAGTCCAGGTATCACCAGGGCTGTAGTTGCAGCCAGTTGACAGAGGTTTGGGACAGCCAGTGCCTCCAGCAGGTCCCCAGGACAGACATCCACACTGATGTCCAAAATACAGGAGTTAGTCCTGTATGTCCCCAAGAACTGTGGAAGCAACTGGCCTGGGTGAGCACATAGATAGATGCTGGGCTGTTGGCAACTGCTGCTGCATTTTCTGTAAAACTTGGGCTTTGCCAGGAGCTTTACAGAGCACTTTGGACAAATTTCAGTGTGAAGCAAGAATGCTTTTTAGCTGAGAAAGCAGATGTGAGAAACTGGCTTTGAGTGGTGCAAATAAATGTTTTCATCCTCTGGATGAGCTGCTCCATCACCTTCCCAGGGATCAAAGTTTAATCTTCTTAAATAAAATGGAGTAAAATATAAAAGCTGTTTCTATGCAAGTAACAAGTGTTGCTGCTTTCAGACTCCAAATGCACAACAGAAGCTAGAGTGACTGCTTGGCAAGGATGTGTTAAGGTTTTCTTATGAATCATTGTGGAACACCTTAGGCAACACAAATTTGTCAGTACCTCTTCCACTCCAAGTGCCACAGCTACCCTATTCAATAAAATAAGCAAACTGAAATTCACTCTTCCCCCCCCCCGCCTTTTTCCCCCCCTCTAGGCTACGAAGTTTATTAAGCTGTCCTTTTTAAAGTTGTGAGATTATTTGTATATCAGTTGCCACAATTAATTAACCAATTGCCTAAAAGGAGGTGGATGTTACCAATAGTTCATTCAATGGTTTAAAGAAAATGTAGGAAGATCCAATATCACTATTTTTTTTGCCTAATTCTTTGTTTTGATATATTGAACAAGACAAATGAACATTTTTTTTTCAATTCTGTGTCTACATTTAATAGAATCATCCAGTAAACAATAGATGATAAATGGTAGTAACTGACAAGCAATAAACAGCAATGTAAGCTGTGCATCAGCTTCAAAGCACGTCAAGCTCAGACTAACTAAAACCAAATCCTGTTCTTGCATTAAAAAACTCAATTGCTTTTAGAAATTGATTGGCAAGACAGAGATGTTGTGGGGGCGTATCCCCTTCTTATTTTTTGGCCACTTGATTTATCACCTTGAATCACCTTGCTTAAACTTTCAATGTTGCAATATGTTGGGCTGGTTTGGTTTTTTAGCCCAACAGTTCCCAATAAGGCTTTCAATTAAAATCTGAAAGGAATGTTCTTGCCCATTAATTGTTTCTAGAGTAAATGAAGATGAAAAGTAGTTGGACACAGCAATAATAAATACCAGAGCTTACAGAGTTTAACTAGACTCTACTTAGGCTGTAGCTTATAGTGACTAGATACATATAGAACTAGGAGGACAGTGAACCAAGTGTAACTCCTAGAGCTAGCCTGTCTTAGAAACAACGGGCATTAGCCCAAATATATTAAAGCAGCGCTCAGCCTCTTTTCCAACCCAGAAAGCAGCAGAGGGGGGAAGCCCACACCAGACAATCCTGTGCAGCGCTACCACAATCGCTTTCCTTTTCAATCAAATAAATGAATGCTTAAAGGTAAGAGCAAGTTTTACCATGTTTGTTTCTCACTCCCCCTGATTATTTTCTATCTGTGTGTAGAGCTGTTTGGTATTGATTGCACAGATCACTTTCCTGTGTCTCACAGAAAATGTAATTATAGGGACAGGAATGGTGTGTTGCAGGAGAGTGCTTTAAAATTCTGCTAGCAGAAAAATGAATCATCATTATGTGGAACCTACTTACCATCTGGTATCAGACGGGCTGGGAAAAACTCTCAGGAATTAACAGCAACTTACTGGTTAAGGAAATGGGGAGTCCTGACAGAAAAGGTTGGTAAATAAAACCGAAGTAATAAGAAATTAATGTAGTTTCTTACAGTGGGTGGGAAATGAGTCCTAGAAATAGTTGTGTTTACATAGAGGATGCAGAGTCTTTTGTTTCATGTAGCACATTTTAGCTTCTTAACATTATTTCAGCAGGTTTACATGGCTTTTTTTTAATAAGTACTTTTTTTATATGAGACCAAATGTTTACTGTTTCTCTATTTTATGGTATCATTTGATTATAGTAATTTTGTTGTTTAGCTGGCATGTATCACTGCTTCTACAGCTTTCCAAGCAGTGTCCCAGAAAAAAAAAAAAAAAAGAAAAAAGAGTATTGTTATTACTACTATGATGTGAGGTAAAATATCCTAAGATCTCCAGGAGTGTCAGTGCTTGGACTGAGTCACATCTTTCTGTTCTGTCTCAGCTGCTACACCACAGTCTCTCCTACCTTCCCCACCTCTGGCTCGCATCCTCCTCTCCCATTTGGCTGTGCTGAAGATGAGGGAGGACTGGCCACTGGTGGGGCTGCCTTCCTCCTCCACCATACCTCGTATCTCCAGCATGTGAGGGTCACCTCTCCCCACACTGGTGCTGTCACAGCCCTGCACAAGCCAAAGGCAGAGCCACCAGACAGACGTCCTGCAGCTCTTGCTGCCTTCTCCACCATCACCACCTGAAGTCACACCTGCCTGCCTGGTACAGCCCCATCCTCTCGGATGCCACACGTAAGTCCAGGGAGAGCTGGTGAGGACTTGCTGCTGCCTCCACACCTCTCCTTTAGCACTGCCTTGCCTGTGACCTTAACCCCACTGACCCCAAATTATTGCTCTTTCAGCAAGGCAATATTCAGGCCCACACCTGGCAGGTCTGTTGGGCCCAAATAATTTGTTTGCCCAGAAACAAAGCACTGTTGAGCCTCACCCACTGATGGCCACTCAAAAATAACCACAAAAGTTCCCCTAACAAAAGCTATGAGAAACTCCAGGCCTACACTAAGTCTTAGAGGACTCAGGGGTATCTCCTGAGTTGTGAGAATTTTAAAATAAATCAATTTTTCTGAAAACATGATCTTTTGAAATAACTTGTCTGTCTTTGTGATGGGACATCATCAGCTTCCTCTGCATTTATGACGTCAAGAACCTGGAAAGAGAAATTTGACTGGGCTGAAGGATAAAAGCTCCAGCACTACACATGTAATGTGTTTTACTTGTAGACATCATCACTGTGCTTTTTAAGTGTTTTAAGATCAAAAGTAGCACTTTTATTTTTAAATGAGACTTAGTCTTTAACTCACAGTAATGTATGATAATCTCTCTGCTCAGTGTTTGCATAGAATTTTCTTCTTAACGTGACATTTTAATTTGAAGACAAGTATTTCAGAAATTAGTTACACCTCTTACAGAAGCACAAACCAAAATGACTAAACGTCTATTAACAGCATATGATCAGGCAGTGCTATAAAATTTGTGGGGTTTGTTTGTTTGTTTGTTTTTGGGGGGTTTTTTTACAAGTACATAAGCTTGGATGAAGCCAAGTGAATACAATTTGCATGAATAAGGAAAACAATGCAGGAAGTGAACATACACAGATGAAAACACAAGCCTAGCTGCAGAATGTGCATATAACACCATTTGTAATCCCTTCCCTATTCTGGAACCCCTAAATCAATAACTGCTAACTGGGTAAGACTGTGCAGCACTCACTCTTCCTATTGCTGTTATCACTACAAGAATGATCTTAAAATTCTTTCTGGTTTGCCTTATTTTCATAACAAAAAATACCCCTCAACAGTGTATCTGAAGAACATATTCTCCCATGAACTGCAATAATACAACCTTTCCTTAATGCAAGTAGTGGTAAACTTGTAAGAATATTCGGATCCCTGTATTTGTACAATGCCATCGTAGTTCATTAACAGCAAAACAGCAATCATTTAAAAAATATTTTTATTTGAAGCTGTCTGGAAATATTCCTGTGATTAATGGGGGAGAAGAGAACATGTTTGCTTCACACTGTAATGATCATCAGGTACTATTAACCATCACCACATCCACTCATTTCAGGCGACACTTGTGAGGCAGATTCATAACCCGGTTTTGAACAGGGCCAAGTGTGAGCTCAGCACCACAACCCTTCTGCCCCCACAACGGTCCTGCTGGGTCGCAGGGTCCCCTGGGCAGGCTGCCTGGACAGGGTTGGCTTTCCGTGAAGAAATCCACTCTGCAGCTGGCTACGACTAATAATAATTTCCCAGACTAAACAAAGGCCATTTTTATCATCAGAAGGTGAATAAAGGCCCGTTAGGTAGGAAGCATTATTGTTTTATTGAGTGTTAAATCAATCAAGCTGGTGACCCAATGGGATAACATATGCTTAAATTTAAGCAAATGCTTAAGTGCCTTACTAGAGAGACCAATGCCTGATACCTTGCCGGATTCAGTGCTTAGTGAAAATTCATGTTTTGCTCTAACATTTGAGACACTTCACTTCCCATTCTGAAAACTGCACATATACAAGCCATCGGCTCTGATGCAGTCATGCAGAAGTGGTAGTTATTTCCAGCTCTAGGAAAAAAACACAGGAGAAGCACACAGCTGAAGTGCGCTTCAGAAAACAAAATCTAGTTAAATGGATTAATATATAGTGATCTTCATTTTAAAAAAAGGGAAACAAGGAGGTAAGATTCACTCTTGGAATGATTCTGATTTAAATTAAAGATTCATAAAGTTCAGTAATTAAGTGCTTAACAGAAATCTATGTGATGTTGATAAATCATTTGCTATGTTTGCCATGTGTATAAATTTGCTGTGATTTATGGCTCATTAAAATTATTTTTCTGAGATTTCCCCCTTCTTCCCATTCACCCTAACCCTATTCTCCTACAGCAGCAGCCAGTTTTTACTCTGCCTGTTATGATGCTTTGCTATCACTGAAGATATTTATTCACTTGTTTGTGTGAAAGGTAAGAAACAAAAATATAGAGGGTGTTGAGGGAAATATGTTAGTTCTACTATTGTCATATGCTAAAAAACTAATAGTAGTATGAAAATAGAGCTTCTTCTTTATTAACGTCCTGAATTTAACTACCATGTTCATAATGTGCTTTGAAAACATTTGGGGCAGTTTTTCTTAAAAACCAAACCAAACCAAAACCACCCCATCCTAAGAGATTTAAGTAAGAAGCACAGTCTTAAAACCCAGAAGGAATAAAACCCAAACATGGTGATAGTTATTTGAAGGCATGGTGAAAATGAGGCAACGTTACAGAATTTGTAGTGGATGGAAAGGAGCGAGGAAGATGATGCAGCTGGTTTATGGCCATCCCACCAGTTGCTAGCTGAAGACCTTGCTGTTGGCCAAGGCCACTCAGCCTGTGTGATGGTTCCTCTGGACCAAATGACATTGTGATATCCCCAGTAGTGTTCTGGTTGTCACCTGGTGGCAGCTGCCAGAAACTCATCACATGAGTGAGATCCATGAAAGGCAGGCTCATAGTTTCAGCTGCTGCCTCTGTCTCCTTGTGCACTGGGTACTTATTAGCATCCCCCACAGGCCCTGAGGAAGCTTCTTCCAGACTGATTTTGTGGAGAGATTGAGGTTCTGGTAACGGCAGGTCCTCAAGAAGATGAACATTGTAACCTTTAACATCCACTTTTATGGGTAGATTCTTGAGGGATCCTGTTGCAAATGAGGTAGAACTAAGGTCATATTTATTAGGCTGATGAAGGTTCAGGTTGGCAGGAACGGCTGTTGAGCATGGTGTGGGATGGACAGCTGGAAGGCTGTCTGCACAGCCCATCCTTTGCAAATGAGGAGAAGGCTCAAGAGGAAGAGCAGTTTGTAAGCTTGCCTGGGAATGAAGATGTGAACAGTTGTATTCCTCTGATTCCGAACTATTTAAAATCCCATTCTGCACAGAGACCCGTTCAGGAAAAGGGGACAGTACGCTGGTATCTTCCTTCAGTCTGAATGGAAAAAGCTGGTCAAGGAGACCCACTGAGTCACCATTCTGCAACCTGCTCTTCAGCAGTTCTTGTGGATGAGTCTTCCTAGTATGGCGAGTCAAGTGGTCCTTCCGCCCAAACCTCTGGGCGCAAAACTGGCACAGAAAGTCTTTGCAGCCTGTGTGAACTACCATGTGCCGCCGCACGTCTTTACGCGTATAGAAGTGACGCTCACAGTGGTCACACTTATGTTTCTTTTCCTTGGTGTTGCCAGTTGGTTTCCCTGCGTGGCTTTTGAGGTGTTCCAACAAAACTTCAGTGCCGCCAAACTCCTGGGCACATACCCTACAGGTAAGGTCCCCACTGGTGGCTGCGTGAAGAGCCAAGTGTCTCTTATAGCCTAGTTTGGTGTGGTACTTCTTACCACACTCTTCACACTTGAAGGCCATCTTGTTAGGGTCATGAGTCTGAAGATGATTCTTTAAATGGTCTTTCCTGTGAAAGGTCTTTTCACAGTAGCCACACTGGTGAGATTTCTGTGGAGAATGAGTGGCTGAGTGCCTAAGACCAAAAGAAGAAAAAAGTTATTTGTATTTACATTCACTCTAGTACACGGTGCAGCTTCAAGACTTGAAAACGCTGTCACTCTTGAAGGAAGGCATTTTCACAAGTTCCCCAGTTATCAATAAAAGCCTAGCTTCTTTTCAGGGGAAGGGGGTAATGTGTTAAATCATAAAGCATACAGGTTAAAATTGCTCAACATCATATTTTTGAGTAGCCACAGCAACTGAGGGAGATTAGTTTTCTCCTATTCTACCACAACAGGAATAATAAAAACTGGAACTAGGGGATTAAGTGGCACTAGGACACTCAAGAAGAAAAAGATGTCCTTGTTTTTTTCCCCACACACCCACCAGAAAAGGAGTGCCTTCAGAGCTGTACCTGAGCAATTTATATTTGGAAATGAAGGCTTTTGTGCATCCGTGCTGTGAACACTTGTAGGGGCGCTCCCCTTTGTGCATGTAAGTGTGGACTGTGAGCTTGTCAATGGAATCAAATATCTTCCCACAGAGTCGGCAAGGGTAACTCTCTGGCTGCTTCACTTCTCTTCCCTTCAACAGTGAAGACCGGCCATTTCTCCATTTAGGTATAAACCTCACCAGAGCATCACAAGTGCTTCCTGAGCTGGCACAGGAAATGGCCCCGTAGCACTGGGCAATGCTTTTGCCTAATGCCGCTCCTCTCAGTTTCCCTTTGAGTTTGCTTTTTGCTTTTACGGGTCCTAATTTATTTGGTGGTCTGAACCTGGTGGTAAGGACTCGGTCTTTATGGATGCACTGGTGAGATTCTAGCAGAGCAAAAGTTGCAAAAGTGCCTCTACAGCTGGAGCATATCCAAGGGTCTACAGGCTCTTTCTGCAAGGAGAACAGAAACAGGTCTTTCTTATTAGCCGTTCTAAGAAAAGGTCATATTCTTCACACTGACCCTACCTCTTCTGGACTTTCCCAAGACCTGTCACTGTCCTTAGTGATATTTACTTCAATGCACTACCACACAACTGTTCAGCTGTAAATGGATTCTCTCTAGGAGTCTACAAACTAGGAAGGAAAAAAAAAAAGGTTGTCTAAATACCGATTTCCATGTTTTTGTTTAGCATTTACTGTAACAGCCCCGAGTCCTTCAACTCTGTTTATCTGTGCTTACTGAATTTCCAAGCCTCTACATTTGTTCCTTTTATGGAATTACTCATAAAAGCAGTTGCGAATTGTACTTTATCCTCAGACTGACACAATTTATCTGCTATTGCAATCATACAAAAATTGCGTGGGTTTCTACACACAAATGTAGTTTAGCTGCACAGGATTTCCTTATGTTTTGGGCTGACTTCATGCTTTACCAAACGGCAATGGTCAACGCCTCCAGGAGAGACTTCCTCACTTAGCTTGACATTTGGCGTTAGACTTTCTTAAACTCAATAAAAAACACTTTAGTTTTGGGGTTCTTAAGCCTATCCTGACTTAGAGGCATTGAAACATAGAAGTTTTTTGGCAAGCAATGCATTATTTGGAAGTATTATTTCTGTGGAAATAAGAGCTCTACTGGATTCAGTTGGATTCACTTTAAATATTGACATTTTAAAAACTCCAGTAAAAACAATTACAAAAAAAACCCAGTCACTGATTAAAAGTACTTCCAGTTAATACATGACCATGCACTTCCTTAGCTGTGTCTGTATTTTTACTTCAGCTTCCCATAAACTGTCCTTACTTTCCCTTGATCTTGGGCTAGCTTGCTCTGGAGAACCTGGTGAAGCTATGCTGACTCTGTCTCTATTTACAGACAGATCCCTCCTCTACCTTATCTATGTCTGATGCTGTGGCCCTCCCACCCCTTCTTTCCTGGGTATACTCTAAAGCCCTCATATGCAAATGCAACAACAGGGTTACTTCCCTTCCTGGAGCACCTCTGCATTCCTGGTTCTATCACATTCCCTGTTTAACACTTCCTGCTAGCTTAGGTATCAATCTTCATGGTCATGTCTTCAACACTTACGAGCTTCTGCTATCAATTTAAGGATTCCTACTATCATGCAGAGGGAAGGTATTGGGATTAGAAGAGAAGGGTTATTGCACAGTGCATTATCTGACCAACCAGTCAGAGCATAACAAGGGGGAACTGGTGAAATAAGTCTGAGACTGGACAGCTTGGTTATCTGCAAATTCATACCAATCTTAAGTCTTTCCAACACATCCCACTGGTCTCACTTACTTCTGGCTATATCTAGTGGCTCCACTGGATTACAAAGACAAGAGAGGACGAGCAGCCTTTCTCTGAGTAGCTGTTTGGTTAAAATCGCTCTTGGTTTTGTGTTAGCCTACTTCTCTATAGTCTACTCTAGCATTACCAGAGTTACATAAACAGAGAAACCATGTAAATTGTCATTTACTATGTCTGGTGATGGCTTGAATGCAGATTAGGGGTACTTACTGCTACTGGAGGCAAAGGACAGACATCAGATTCTTCTTTAATGAAGACTGCAGAAGCTTCCATAAATTTGGCATAATCGGCAGCATACCATACTTTCAGTTCTGTGTGGGGCTCAATTGGCTGTGAATGGAAGAAAACAGCATGTTTACTTGTGCCAATTTTCCTATGCCAAATAATACTGAAGGTTGGAGTTGGGGGTGTGTGCAATTTGTGTCCCCACTGAAGTTGCATTCTTTGAATCTGTTTAAATTCTTGGTAACTTAGTTTCAAGATTCAAGCACTTTCTGGGCATTACTATCCACTAGGGTTTGACACCTTCACAGTTTCTAAAAGCAGAAATGCCTGTGTACAGAGATTTTCTGGGGACAGCAGCAGGAGGGGTGCCTCAGCCCTCATGACCTTTGCTCAGTGACATCTATTTGTCTGTGATGTTCAGACATCCAGCAGTCTTTCCAAGCAATATCCCACGCCTCTTTCTCAATATTTAAAATCCCACTGAACACAACACTTAACTACAAGGCACAGGCAAAGGAAAAATGCATCATGAATGCACAACAGCTTGGATGCCTCCTGGATGTGTTGCACTCACAGAGCGTGGGGTCCAGAGTCAACCAGTATGTGGACTGCAAGTCAAACTTGCATGTTTCCAGGCACTGGCTTTAATGTGTCAGGCTCACTATGCATGTGCTTTATTGTACCTCTGCCCTCCTTCCACTGAAGCCTTCCCATGCAGGTCTAAGTGAGCCCATAATCTGCAGTCTCCCATCCAGTCATGCCTGCCCAAATCTTTCCTTGGACTGGACTATGACCTCCTCTGACAAATATTTTCAGTCAATAATACAGCAAATAGAAAAAGAGAGGAGCGATTACACTCACTGGCTAAAGATCTAATAGTTATTTAAAAGTAAAGGAGAAAACTAACTTTGGGTTCATGATTTACATGACTCCCTGGCCCTGTACACAAGTTTCTTCATCTATAACACAAAACAACATTGCTGCAACAGTCGTAGAGCCAATCTGCATTATACTTGTAGCTTTATTTAAACTGAACTAAATTTGTGCCACTAAAAAGACCAAACTAGCCTGGAAGCAGAGCAGCTGAGTCTTATTCCACAAAAATGTGACATCCTAAAATGCACTTATTTTTTAACATTGGTGTTGGATAAGCATGGTAGATGAAAGACAACTTAGACTGTGAATGCTGACAGGTAACTGCGTGTATAATGTTGAAAAATGAACTTTTGAACTCCCAAGCACAAGCCTGCTTGCTAACTACAACCAGTATGCATTGGTTGTATGTTTTCATAACACCTGGCCTAAACAGAAATGGTACATGCTGAATTCTCCACTCAACAAAGGACATGAGGCAGAGCCACCAACCTGGAGGCTGGTCATGCATTGTGCTCCTGCATATAGTCTATTTAGATGGAGAGAACCAAGCCTGGGGGAGCTCTACAGAGACAAATGCCTGGGGATGCCCCAGGACCTTGGCCAGTGTCACTCAAGACTGGTACCCACAAACAGCTGCACAGCATGATACTGTCATGACCTTCTGCCTGACACTCCTGGACCAGCAGCAATCTCTTCTGTGGGAAGCTGAGACCTAGTCGACGTGACTTTGGAGGGAGAGCAAGTGCATCAGTGTGTGAAATAGTCAAGTAAGGAAAAAGCCCTAATCTCAGTAAAACTGAGATTAAACAGCATTATCCAAACCCACTACAAGCTGTCATTTACTCTGTCTCACCCGTGACAATAAGAGAAAGCTACGGCAGCACCCACATGAAACTCTCCTGTGATGAGAGAGAGACAGCAACCATGGATGATTTTTACTTCTTCATAATTCTGTCCTGTTTTAAAGCACTCATTTCTAGGGACTGCAGTCATTAGTTCAGCAAGTACACTAACAGTGCTTTTAGTATGCCATTTACATGTATGTTTTTGTAGCTGCAGTTCCATGTCACTGAAATCCCATCTCTTTGTAAATCCAGTGGGGAGAGGAGCCAATCCTTCTACTCCCAACTTAACAGACTTTATTCAGAATATCTTGAGAAAATATCTTCCTAACTAGCCCTAAGGCAGCCTCACACCGTGACCAGCAGGGTGTGCCTAAGTGTAACAAAAGGCTATCATTTTTGCTGACCAGGACAAAATCTGTAGCCTGAATGATACTGGGACTGAGAAGAAACAAAACCAATGTAATTCCCTATGATACACAGCACAGTAAAAGTTACAAGACACATTCCTTATCCTGATAATCTTCATGTCAGTATATAGGATGCAACTCTTCGTTAATGCCAATGAGCAGAGTTCTGCTGAAGTCAACAGAGAGCTGGTTCAATAGTACTTAAATTACACTGGAAATTGTAAGTTACCAGTTCATAACTACAACTTCTTAAAAAAGCATTTTTTAATGCTTCCCAAATATAGCATTATTAGTCCTGTCAGTTCTACAAGTATAGCGTGCATTTAAAATGAAATTGAAATCTCAAATGGTTTGGACTGCATCAGATTCTCAAACACAGCCTAAACAATGTCTCAGATTAGCATATCCTGTTTTACACTGGTTTTTTTTTTAATGAATTATTTTAATAATTGTATTAATTAAAATGCTGGATTTTAACCCCACAGTAACTTCTTCTGACTAATGTTCTCTCTTTTTTTCTTTTTAATGTTGCTCACAATGATATACAAGCACTAACTTAAGAATAAAAAAGGAAAACAATGAATGTTCAACATACAGACTTCAGTTTCCTGAGCGTACAAAAGAGTAAGTTCTGATTTAAACAAACTTTGCCTGAGAAAGTGGCCAAAACAACAAAAAACAAGACTGTATGTTCCAGTGTCATTTATAAATACAGAGTACTTTGTTCTCTCTACTGAGACAAAGATGTAGTCCAGAATCTCTATCATAAACTGAGGATTTCATGGCAACATTGCAGTATTCTAAGTTGTGCAGTTAAGTCTTCAGATTTAATGGGAGTGGAAAACAGTACGATTCTACTTAGCACCCTGTTCCTGAGCACCTGGAAATGTGCTCAGAATATGCCGTGTGTCCAAAAATGTAATGAAGGAAAGGATGTGTTTGTTCTTTCCAGGATGAAGTACTGTTGAATGTAACAATGCTAGATAATCTCACCATGTACCTATCTGGAGCTGAAGAACATTACAACATTCACATTTAAACATTGCCATCATGAATGATATTTCTTGTTTCTCTCTGCTCAGTTTCTTCACTACTCGTAACAGCACGTACACACCGCCTTTTACTGGCAAACCCCATACGCTGCTTGCTTTGCTATGGATTAAGTGATATAAAAGGAGGTATGTAATAAAGATCAGAATATAATCAATCTTTCATCTGTAAAAGGGTAAGCTTTTCAGAACCTTTGCCTATAAATCTCCGTCTGGATGACAGGTGCAGCAATGTGGGTTTAACTACCTTAACAGTTGTGAAGTAGACTTCTCCACAGTGCTGGTAAGCCACAAGGGTCTGTTCTTCTTGGTTCCGGGCTAGCCGGACAAACATCATCCAGTTTCCACAGTCTTCATTGGGAGTGTCCAGAAAGTACTTCCCTCCATCTTTCAATACCTGAAACAAAAGGGGAGCATAGGAGAAAGAACATGATAAAACCAAGTCCTATATAGAGGCACATTAGTTTTCTTTAACTTGGAATCATGGCTATCAGTTATTTACCCTGTCTTGGTCATATGTCCTTTGAAATCATGGTTGTTTTGAAATAGATCACTCTTAAAGAACATTGAGTGCAAAAGAAAGTGAAGAACGAATACGTGCCGAGGCACCCAACTACTAAAATACCTGTAAGCCTTTGTATGTATTTCCAGTTTATATTTCATCATTTTTGTGTTATATAAAGATAATATTATAAGAACTAAGTGCAGGCAGGTAGAAAGATAAGCTTTATGCCTTAATGTACTTCCTGAGTACTTGATAATCTCAAACATCAGTGCTGTATTAACGCTACATTTTGCAGGGAACAATTGTATAACTTGTGTAACAAGTCCAGAGAGGTAACATACAATATAATGGCATTTTAACAGTCTTCTCTTTTTCCCCTTACCAATGCAAAAGTAAACACAAATGAACAACTGTGCCAGAAAGATCTCTTTTTGCTTTATCTCATTCTTCCTAGATTCCTTTCTGAGGGAATGCCTCTATGAAGCAAACACTCCCAACCTCACACAAGACAGTTGCTTTTCTGCAACACAAGTCTTGATCACGGACTGCTGACACAGCACAACAGATGTAAGCACAGCATGTATCTGTTCTACTAACCACTTAAGGGAGCAACTAATTGCAAAAGAAGTTGCATTTCCATTGCTTCCAGGAACTATTTTACCTAACCTTGTCACATTTATGATGAAAACACCTGCCTGTTGGACAAGTTTGGTCACATATTCAGAATGCTGCTAGGGAGAAGTCAAGGCAGCTACTGCTGCCATGTAGGAAACCTGGGACTCTAGTCTCCTCTTCTGAAGAAACAGTGCATTCATCAGCGAGAGCTCTGCTTATCACTGTATACTTCCAAGCAAACGTGGCTGACTGATAAAGGAAAGGGTGTGGTTTACAATGGCTTGGTGAAAGGGAAGGAACTGGGTGCTTAGCTCATCCGTGCTCGCATGCTTGTTAGAGAATTACATTTTCTGCATTTGTAAGAGTTAAAGTGTCTCATAAAAAGATGGAAAAAACTTAGTTATGGAGAAGAACAAATCCTCTCTGGTGTCAACATGCCATGAAAATTCCACAAAAGGACAGTGTTAACATTCCTGGCAGACCATTCACATGATTTCCATGAACAAATTAAGTTTACATCAATTACTGAAGCTGTTACTTTTGCTCTCAAATTAAATCACAGAACTATCAGTATCTATGCCTTCCTCCACAACACACACAGTGTTTTCCAGCCCCAAGCTTCTGGAAGAAGCTCAAAGACAAAAAACATGTTACAAGGCAGCTGCTGCTGCTCCCTCTTGCCTGGGGAGTGAGAGGGCCTGATACCAAACCCAGGCTCTGGAAGAACTGTGACCTGTTGGGAAGTCCTGATGGAGGCTGTGGTTTGACTACAGACACTCTGTATGACAGAGGTGGGCCTAGCCATGACTCTGTGCAGCAAAATGTGCAAAGACCGGGGCGTGGAAGATTATAATGAACTATCACTCCTAACAAATTCCTGTGGGAAAGGATGTGCATGCAGATATGTCTACGCTAGGCTAGTCCTGAGAGACCACTATTCATGCTGGATAAAGTACAAACAATAGTGTCATGGTCCAGATGAAATGACCAATATCTGTGCATGCACCAAGGGATGGTACCAGCCCTAAATAACAATCTGACTAAATAAACTGAGTGAGTGCATTGTATGTCAAAGTTTATATATAATCACATCATTAAGAAGTGTTTCCCCATCCCTGCATTGTTTCTCCGTACTAAGCAGGTGCCTTACTGCATATTTCTGCCACTATTGCTAAGTCAGTGCACAAACTTAACCCTCCCAGTGGCATGGTGTTAAGCATAAATCCTTTTGTTTTATCTGAGAAGGCAGCCCTATCCTTGGATACTTCCAGTAGCTGTGCTCTGTGAAAAGTTTATCAAGAGCTGTTAGACTGACAGGTAAATCACCCTGGAAGTGGTAAAACTAGAAAGCAGGAAAGCAAACTTCTAGAAAACACAATATACAGGAACATTTTGGTACTTCAGGTTATGCTGTGCTGTCTAATAATGTGATTTACAGTCACACATACAGATCAGAAGTACAATTAATTAACTAAATCGGACGGCAAATTGACTGGTTCAACTACATAAACACATACGAACTGTTAAAGACACATATGCACTTCATAGTAAGCCTCTGGGTTTTTACCTGCAGCACTAGCCTGCTCTCATCATAGCGGGTCAATTTTGTAGACAGTTGACCAACATAAGGACCAAACTGTGTTCTCTTCTGTATTACTTTCTTTGCAAATACTCCAAGGACTGTGAATCAAAAAAAAGACCAGTCTAATATTAATATAGACATCACAAACCATTTCTTGTATATTTACAGTTGTGAAAATGGAGATAAACACAATAGTGCAGAACACATCAATTCTTCTAGACAAATAACCCAGGTAAATAATTCTAACAAAAAGAATCTGAAAAGGATGTAAATATGTACAGGATTTTTTTTCTTTTTAATGGGTACTACACTGAATACAAAAATGCCTAAAATACATGACAAGATATTAAACTGAGGATGCAATACAAATGTGTTGATACTCTTCAATCTACAAACTGATGTTATCATAGTGCTCTGCTTGCTGGCATAATTTATGAGGTTGTTCTCTCCCAGTATGAGTGCAGAGAATCTATAAAAACCATCCTACTTATTCCCCTGCCTAATACCAATGGTGCATCACAACAGGCATCTTGTCATTCTCTTTCTGAAATGCAATCTAGACACTAATGATGTAGTTCCCTTCTTCAAGTTTGGGTATTCAAATTTCCCTGCCCTCAGAAGGAAACAACAGTCTTTCTATAATATGAACTGAAGATGCTGCAAAAGGTAAATTAACCCTCTGTGGTCTTTTGATTTTGCAGAGGGTGGATGAGGGATGTTATTTACCATTTTGTTTCTGACTTCTTATTGAATACTCTTTCCTGTTTTGCATGCTTGGGGAAAAGAAAAAAATATGTAATAGTGCACGGCCGTTACTATTAGCTACAAATTCAACATTCATTAAACTTGTATTGACTGAACAGAGCTAACTGATTGCTCACAGCTAAATGTCACACCAGCTCTGGCTAATGTCCTGCCATCAGTCTACGCATCGAGGTTACTAGAAATCAGTCACAGAAAACAGGAGCTGAATGTGAGCTTTAGCTGTGCTCAGCTGAAAATAAAGTAGTCTCCAGACGGTTAATACCCAATGATTATGCCTTGAGTTATTCACGAAAAACAAGCCAGTGTTAGGACTTTCACCTCCTCTTTCTCAAGTGTGGGAAAAAGAGGTCAAATACTTACTCTGCTGGTTTCCAGCTCGCAGCTCCAACACTCGCAAAGTGAGGTAATGAGGTAGGGTGAGACGGGCTCGGCTAGGAATAACCCTATCTTTAGCCCTGATGAGTGGTCCGTGGAGTCTGCATTCTCCTATAAGGCTTTTACCGCAATCCTCACACCCTACAAATCCAGAAAAGGGAAGCTGTTACTAAAAATGACATACTGCTCTCCAGTTTAGTCTCTTCTAATTTCGTCACCTTGAGAAGACATCTTGAGTTACCAATGCTTTTCTTTACACCACTGTTCTACATTAGGTAGTGAAAAGAGTATCTGCAAGCCAAAACTGAAATAGGAAGGTTTGAAATAAAACCTCCAGTTTGTGCATTCTCTCCTGTGCAAACTGGTGAGTCTTGACCTCCCAAGATTTATACGCAAGCTCATCTGGAGGTGTCACAAAGCATGCCTTTGGCGACTAGGATGACAGCAAAACTGGAGCTCGCAGTATGCACACCTATAAACAAAGGTGCGTATATTTATATAGAAATGAGAAGGGCAAAGTTGTTAGTAATAACCAAAGTAATTTGCAGAGGTCCAAGGAATCCAGGAAAGATCACTGTGACTTTGTGAGCCTGCACAGACCTTTCGCAGGAGAAGAGAAGACCCGCAGTGCACCATGAAAAATGAGTACGATGGGTCTTTCAGACACAACTCAGCTGACAGTCACGCAAGGGCAGCCTTCTCATAGACACTGCTGCCTGTGGAAGCAAGCAAAAGGGGCACTCCACATCTCCCAGTCACTGGTTCACAGTAATGACCATCTGCAGGCTGAACACACGAACCATCCAGAAAAGTCATTAATGAGAAATACATGTCTGCAAACTGACTTTCTCCCAGCACAGTGAGATATTTTTGGTTCAGTGTAGCTCAAACTGGTTGCCAGGGAAACTCATCTGGAGCAGCGACACAACTGAGCAACGATACTCTCCAGCAGAAGGTCATCCCAGCACTGGTGTCACACAGGGCAATGGGAAAAACGGGACTTCTTGCTCAAAACCTTTTTATAGACAGTAGAAACCAAACCAGCGTGCCAAAACCACTTTATGACGGAGTTAAAAGGAAAAGCTGGTATTGGTCATCCATGACTACCTCGGTGTTTTTTACTTCTGAAAACTTTGCTGAGCTAGTCTATTCAGTAAGTGACAATAAGGAGCAGAAGAGGGGAGCCAGAACACCCGAGAGTCCAAGGGAGCCATGGGACGCCGTAGCAGAGACTGGGGAAGGAGAGATGTGGCTTCACCAGAGAGGGGTTCGTAGCCAAAGAGAAGTCAAGAGAAGCATTAGGGCTCAGGAGACACTAGCTGGAGAGGCATCAGAGATAGTCTTTGAGAAAGGACAGGAGCACCATAAATGCCATATTCAGGGTGGTTCAAAAAGGTTTCAGTCTGTAAACAGAAGTAGGCACTTGACTAAATTACGCGCCTCAAAAGTCTAGTTCAAAATCTCCCCAAATAAGCCTGAAGTGTTTCTACTGAGTTCTTTGGGCTCTCCATCAACTCTAAACGAAGAGGTAGACTTGCATGTTGGTCAGGCTGCAGGCACTGCAGTAGTCCATGTTTGTCAATAATGTGGGGACCACGTGATAGTTTTCTTTTGCCATGGCTCCCAGACTACACACCTGCACTATGAATAGCTGAAATATGTGATTTTTTTTTTTTTTGCTAGTGCTACAGATAAAGCACATGCCACTCTACACCCATCACTTAAAATGCATAAAAAATAAGTAATACAGCTGCAAGGCAGATTTTTCTTGTTACACACTGTTTTATGTACCTGAAAAGTCCTTTATAGCTCAGCTGCAAGAAAAAAAACATTTTCTTGGCGATATAACTTAATTGGCTTTTAAAGAAATTGCCAACAATCTATGTCTTCTGAAGGCAACAAAATTATGAGGGCTTCCTGAGCTTACCTAGAATAATAGTGACTTTGTCTCAAGTCAAACAGCTCCTGCTTGGTGAGTCGTTGTATGCAAACTGCCGAAAAGCATTACCGAAACAAAAACGGAGACAAAGAACCGCTGTTAGAGGGAGGATGTATCTAATCGTAAAGTACACGACCTTATCAATCCATACCATGCTCCTGTGATTCATCACAACCGAGCTCCTGAGCAAACCTTCCAGGGCAGTGCCTTCTGCAGAGGCCCCAGGGTGGGCAGCTTGTAGGGAGGCTGGAAAGTTTGGAAAGGGAAAAAGGGTCCCCTTGAATTGGTCTCCAAATTCAGCACTGGTGCCCTGTTAGGTAACGTGCCTTGGTCCTCCAGAGCCAAGACGTAAGGTCTGAAATGATTCACACGGTGCAAGTGCTAGGGAGGGTGCTCCTCCAAAATCAGGGAGGAGCATCCAAACAGGTGCTGAACACGCCACCGAGCTTAGGGGCCCCAGGAGACACGCCTCACCTGCACGGCAAAGCCGTCGGCTTGCCCTGAACGAAATGAGCTGCACAGCTGGAAGTGGGTTTTAGGCACCTTGCTAGTAGGGCTTGGGATTCTGACCTGGCATCATGGCACGGCACCTTGAAATACCTGGAGCTGCCCAAGGCTTGTTCTAGGATTTTATGTGCTTCATTAGATGGGATAAGAAGATAACTAGAGGATTCAGTTATTTAACAGGCATCCCAGAATTACATTCACTACACAGTATTTCTGACCCCACACCAGCATGTTAGTACCCTGACTCTGAATTTAATCCACACTAAAAATTGCCAGGTGTACCAGAAGCAAGGATTGGGCCACTGTAAATATAACAATTTTAGGGACTGCCCTGGGGAACGGGAGTCTTTGTAATTTCTTCCCCCAAACTAACAGTGCAAAACTGTCAAATTCAGATTCTTCCTTGGAGATAATTACAGAGCAATTCACGATCCTTTGTACTTCAATACTAAATTACAGATGTCGTCGGCAAAGGAAGGTATGCATTATCATAGCTGCAGCATGGCATTGGTCTGCAAAGCTCACACACCTTTAATACTTCACTTTAACTTGGCTGCTTAAGTAAAATGTATTTTTTTCAACAACAGTCTCAGAACACACTCTAACCTGTTCTGAAATAGAGCATCCAGCTATATCCAGTCATATTAGCACTAGGAATGAAATACACTTGGTTAGAAAAATCACTTTCTGTGAAGAAGATTTTTTCTGCTTCTTGTTAGGCACTTTAGTTCCTCACTTGATGCTTTTACAGTTTCCCTGATCCCTTAAATTGTATTTACACAAACAAAATTAACGGATTTAAAGTCACATTTACAGGAATACTTGATAATGTGCAAGCATGCAAGAAAAAGTAAACCTGTCTCTGTTCCTCTGCTTTGCTGTGATTTAGATGAGTACGCAACAAAAAGAAATAAACAAGATTCACAGGAGTTACAAACTGTTAAAAAACAGACCGTGTCATTTTACTATATCTTTGGAGCAGCAGTGCTATATTTTTATCTAGAGGGTATTTCTTCGTTCTTGCTCTATGCCTTTGCAACGACTGTGAAAAAGTTCCAAAAATTGCCTTTTTTATCTACCTGTAGAAAGCTACACAAGGTAATAGATGCTGTAGCTGATAAAATTTTTATTTTGCTGAACTCCACTGCAGCAGTGAGCAGGCACGTGTACAGAAGAGCCCAGCACGAGTGCGGGTGACTCGGAGCAGGGAGCGGGTGCCCAGCCACCACCTTGTCACATGGACGAGGTGCTCGTGCCCTGTTAACCACCGCTGGATGGGCTAAGAGAAGGGGGTACATCTCCTGTATGCCCCCAGCCTGGTACCCCTGCCCCTGAATGCATCTGCTCCCACTTCTGTCCAACCATTGGGAGGCATGGTCAGCAGCTATGGCTTTCTCCTGCTCTTTGGGTCACCCCAAAAATGACACCGGCTGCCTGCAGGATGCACGCCCTCCACAGGGGCTGACCGCAAAAGCCCACCACGCGAGGCTGACCGCAACGCTGGTGGCCGCCTTCCCAAGGAGGAGAGCGGGCTGTGAGTGTGGCTCACCTGTACCGTCCTCCCCACGGTGGTGCTTCCCCTCAGTCCAGGTCTAGGTGACAGCTCTCATTTGCTGTGGACTACAGCCTAGCAGCCCCAGCAGCCAGCTTGCCTTCTCCTCTAGACGGCTCTGGGGCCAGCCAGGCTGCACGGGGACAAACTCCCGCAGCCAGCAGTAGCCAGGCTGGTGCGGCGGGTGGGGCACGCTGGACTCAAACACCGTTAACAATCTGGGGTTTCCAAAACAGCGGCACCATCCGAGCACTGTGCCACCCCCACAGGCACAAGCCCAGCCTTGGGGAGAGCTCATTAGCGTGGGCGAGGAGCCACAGGCTGCGGTTACACCAAGTCCTGCTGCAGAGATAACGGAGCTATACATAGCCATACTAGGAACTACAATCACTGCTGGGGTAGCTCGAGCATACCACGGGCTCCTTAACCAATCAGCGGCTGAATACCACGTTTTAAAACCAGTTTGCTAAAAACTAGATGCCTATCAGGCATTCCTTCCTCTGCTTTCTCCAACCCTCTGAGGAGATCTTATAGTGGCCTTCCAGTACCTGAAGGGGGCCTACAAGAAAGCTGGGGAAGGACTTTTCATAAGGGCAGTTAATGACAGAACAAGGGGAAATGGGTTTAAACTGAAAGAGGGGAGGTTTAGATTAGATATTAGGAAGAAGTTCTTCACTATGAGGGTAGTGAGACACTGGAACGGGTTGCCCAGAGAAGCTGTGGATGCCCCCTCCCTGGAAGTGTTCAAGGCCAGGCTGGATGAGGCTTTGAGCAACCTGGTCTAGTGGAAGGTGTCCCTGCTGATGGCAGGGGGGTTGGAACTGGATGATCTTTAAGGTCCCTTCCAACCCAAATCATTCTATGATTCTATGATTTAACCTCTACTTTCAAGCAAGACTTTACGGTACCTGAACGCTTCAGTGGCCCAGAAGATGCCCGTGGTATGGTTTACGTGCGCTGTGAAGGTGGAGGTAAATCATTCCTTTCAAAATGTCCACTTTGAGCAAAGACGACCCACAAGAAACGATCGTCCGGCTGAGCAGTGCTCGACATTTGCTGCGCTGTTTTGCAGCATTAGAATTAGCTTCCGTGCGCAGAGGGAACAAAGATCAGTGTACACAGTGGTCCAAATCCGAGCCTAATTACAATCATAAGATTTGCATAGCAAACAACAGTAATTTATCACAGAGTAAAACTGCACTGCTCCGTTAGCCTCGTTCAGCTTTCACGTAGAGGAACGCTGCATACGTACCCTGTGGACATTATCTGTCTAACATATATTTGCATGTGCAGTATGCAAGTCTTGGTTCTTCTTACACAAAGGTACACGAGGTTTATCCTGCTCTGTGGTTTGTTCTGAAGCACTCACTTGCTGGAAAAGCTTAAAAACTGCGTTCCACACTATAATTTATTTGGCAAAAATTCAAAGTACTCAATTAGTAAACAGTTAATCCTAAGTTATTTTCCCATTATTGTGGGCCACTGCCACGCATCTCCTCTGTAAAGCACATTTATGAAAGAAGCCTTACATGTCCTAAGTTGGATGTGCAAAGTACATCTACAAAGGAGCTGAAGCTCTTAACTGATTGAGAATTCATCCTATTTACATTACAGTAAAATAGAACTTGTTATAATTAACAGAATTCAGAAATTAATTCAAATCCCATTAACCTCTGATATTTTGTCATGCTAAATTTTCTACTGACTGATTTTCAGTTTTTAACTGTAATAACTGATCCCTAGTCCAACACAAAAATAGGTGAACATTTCTTCAATGTCTCCTTTCCATGTCTCTTCTATCCCATACAACAAAACTTTATATTAGCAGAGAGTTACAACTGCCCAGCTCTGCAAGGAAAAAAAGAAAAATAAATCAGGAAACCACACTCTGGGCGGACTTTGCAATTGCAATTGCTCACCTGAGCAAAGACTGCAAACTCACATATTCATTATTTGTGAATTTCCATAATCCCACATCCAAAATAACAGCCCAAAAAATAAGAAGGAGGTGGGGAGAAGGGCAGAAAAGAAGATTGACTCCTAAGCACCTGAGAGGAAAACTTTAAATAGACTTCAAGCAGTGAGTTTGACACAAAGAGACCCTGAAGCTTCACAGTCTCTACCTGATGGCACCAGCACAGACACTGCGGGATGGACGTGCTGCTGGGGCAGCATCGGTTCCCTTACCAAGGCCTTGTGCTGCCAACTGCCATCCTCAGGCTTGAAGGCAAGTGGACCAGAGCCCCTGAGATGCTGGTGGAGGGGGAGGAGGAGTCCTGGTCCTGCACAGGGGTGGGCAGCACCCTGTGAGGGAACGCCTACGCCTCTTTTGGGGCCCCCTCTCCCGTGGGAGGGGAACAGTAGGTGGTTCGCAAACATCCCATCAATCTTTCTTAACATTAAACATATTCACAGGAACATGACCTCACTCTACTAAAATGTAAAACTTGAAAAATGAGTTACTACATTTGGAGACAGAAACAGAGAAATAAACCAGCAAACGTGCCTTACTGCCATTCCATACATTCAACCAGAACAGCAGGTCGAGCCAATTCCCTAAAGCTGGGACCCAGCACTGCAGGTGAGCCTGCCCTTAAGGCATCCTGACCCATCTGCAGTGACACTTTCTCCTTCACCTTGCCTCCATCCTCCCTGTGCTCCTGCCTTTGTTCCCAAGAGGTAAGAAGATTCATAGGGAGGGTACATCCTCGGGTCTCCAGCTGTGAGAGATCATCCATCAGGTCACTCTCTCCTGCCTCACAGCAGTATGATCCTGTCCAGCACAGGATGCCTCTAGAAGGGAGGCTCAGCACTTACCTGGCTGTAAAGGAATCTTCTAACACAAAGCATGCATGCATTTTCCTGGCAGACACAAACAAGTATGTAAACTCTTTGGAACTCCCAAAACTATTTGTTATACAAACATATAAATGATAACAACAACTATGATTCATTACTAATTCCTAACAGGGAGTAATCATGATGACAGTCGAGCACATCTGGGAACAGTAAGTTTTTTGCCTGGTGACCATGAAGTACTATGACAGGCATAGCCAGAAGCAATTTAACCAGCTTCCCATAAAAAGCCATCCTCCCACCAACCCCAATAAGGCTCCTTCATCTAGTAAATCTCAGGAGCACAACGTCTAGAGAAGCCTCGAGGAGCACAGCCAGGCTGTGAAATTCAGCAGTGTGACTGCTCACAGCAGCTCTGGCCAGTTCCTGTGCAGCAGAAGGATACCTGTGCTCTGCTGTACCTTACAAACTTCACAGCTAAGAGGGGGAAAAAAAAAAAAGTTACTTTCACTGTTTGAACACCTGAAAGGGTAATAATTTACAGGACATTTCTGCTAACTTAAAGGGAAAAACCCCCCCAAAACCAAAAAAAACCCCAACAAACCAAACAGCAGGGAAAGTATGTAGGTGCATGTATCAAAGCTTAACTTCACTCTGCCATCCAGAGAAGGGCCACCAGGATGATCCGAGGGCTGGAGCACCTCTCCTATGAAGACAGGCTGAAAGAGTTGGGGCTGTTCAGCCTGAAAAAGAGAAGGCTCTGGGGAGATCTTATAGCAGCCTTCCAGTACCTGAAGGGGCTACAAGAAAGCTGGGGAGGGACTTTTCATAAGGGCAACTAATGACAAGACAAGGGGAAATGGGTTTAAACTGAAAGAGGGGAGGTTTAGATTAGATATTAGGAAGAAGTTTTTCACTGTGAGGGTGGTCAGACACTGGAACAGGTTGCCCAGAGAAGCTGTGGATGCCCCCTCCCTGGAAGTGTTCAAGGCCAGGCTGGATGAGGCTTTGAGCAACCTGGTCTAGTGGAAGGTGTCCCTGCTGATGGCAGGGGGGTTGGAACTAGATGATCTTTAAGGTCCCTTCCAATCCAAACCATTCTATGATTCTATGATCTGAGCAACCAGTTTATCAAAGTTCTTGGTAGGCTCATTCATCTAGAAATGACTTGAGATCAAAGCACTGATTGATTGATTGAAAGCTAATTAAAAGAAAGAAAAAAAAACCAAACAACTTCCTCTGGTTATTCTTGGGACTAAAATGTACATGTGACATTTCTAGTGCACCACATGGGGTTTGGTTGCTATCAGAATCCGTATACATAACGAGCACAGTTCAAGTGAAGTCACTTCCCCTAGTTTACATGTAACAGCTTCTAATCAGCATGAACAAAGAGACTTCTCTCACTGCTGAAAGCTGAATGAATATATTTCAAACAATCAAACTGAAAAACGCAGCTGGATTTTTCAGGGTTTTTCCTCCTTCGCTTCCCCCTCCCTCCACTGGCTTGGCATGAAGTCATGTAAAATTAGATCCAGAAACAAGGAAGGAGGTTAACGGCAAATTCACAGAAACAACTGCCATATTTTTATGAGAAACAGCCTCAGTCAGCATAGCCTGGTCCTACAAAACACCAAGCCTCCCTGCTGCACTCTGCCCATCTTCCCCAGCAGCAGCTGGTCCTGGTGCAAGGCTGTGGCTCCTACCTGTGACACCTTCTTGCTTTAGGTCTTCACTAGCACTGCCCAAACTGCACTGCTCCCACACTGCAGACAGTAAAACTAAAATCCCCCTGTGCACAGAAACACAGACAGCCATCAAGAGAGTCATAGTCAAAGTGCTCATAAGCGCCCTGTGCTCCTGGGCCACATGTTGGACCCCCCTAATCTATACCTCCCACAGCACAAGTGTTACCTCCCACAGCAAAAGTAGCTTTAATTGGTCTCAAGCACTTTTCTTTTGGGGAGATTTCTGGCAGGACAGTTGATTTATTTTAGTGTCAGACCTTTTAGTGGATAATGTTAATGCTTCTGCTGCAATTTAACACAGACATCAGAATCTTCTATCTTAGTTCTAGCAATAAATAAATGAATAAAAGCCCCAAGCAAATATGTCTTCCTAAATGTACGTACGTCTAAACACACATGCACGCAGCCACACACACCATATCAGGTGCATTAATACAGTCGACAGTTTAATTCATGGCAGGTCAACACCACAGTTTCAATTCTGATAAATGAAGTGCAGCAATTCTAATGACTAATGCTTAGTATTAATGATTAATTCTTAGTATTAATTAGATTCAATATTTCCAACCCTTGCAACATTCCCTTAAAAGGGAACCTTAGATTGGTCTCTCTCTCCTTCACTGAACTTGGTGGTTACTGGCCACGAAGTCCAGATGTCATGGGGAATAGACTGGTGGAGAGCTCAGTGACAAAAGCCACCGCTCCTTAGGAAACCAGCCCAAACTGATTCTTGCTCTTCCACTTGTGACACAAGTTTCAACATGGACTTGCAGGAACTTTCCCAGCAAAGATGCTAGTGGCTGGGATTTACTTCCAGCTGCTCACTGGTAGTAAGGACCAGGTAGGTAGACACACTTTGGAGAGGGACATATGAGTTCACTGTAGGATGCAATGAGGAAGCCTGGCATGACAGAGTAAAGAGATGCTGTACTCATCCTGCAGCTGGAGAACTTTAGGTCTTTAGAGGCAGTTATAACTCAATGAAGCAAGCTACAGCTACTGGGAGTAAAAGCGTGGTGTAAAAACTACAGGACCCACTTCTGCAGGTAGAAGTCCATACACTCGTCTCTACTGATGTGTGAGTAACGACATTACGAAAGAAGGAAGTCCATGTGGAGAAGTGAATACATAGACACTTAAGACTGGTGGGGGCTGAGACCTTAGATGGCCAATCCTGAAAGGACACTCCAATCCATATTACATTCAGTGGAAACTAAGTCTGAGTAAAACTGGGAAATCAGTTAACTTTCTCAGTGAACCATCCAAACCTCCTACTGGTATTCGAATTCACCCAAGAAAACAAAAAAAAAGTTGGGTTTTTTTCCTAATAAATCCTAAAGCATATTTTTAACGTACTGAAATGTACGAGTCTTCTTTTAAAAGCATTGTTTTTTGTAAATGAAGGGTCATTAACAGCTTAGCAGAACAGCTTTAGTTCTTACTATGCATCACCTTAATAACAGAAGACACAGGCAACAACTTCTGTTATTACTTGCCTGATTTCCAACACAAAAAGGGCGCTCGAGTCCCAGCTTCTCTGGGACCAAAACGGGTAGCAGACTCTCATCCTTAGCCTTTATGATCCTGTTAAATTATTCTCCTCTTTTAAGGCATGAAATAATGTCTTAAAAAAATATAGATATTGGGAAGCTCTGCTGCTGAATAAATACAATAATGTATTTCTGAGAAAAAAATACTCACAGGTGCAAGTGTCATGTCTGTGTTTCCATTTACTGGTTCTTCTTCATTTCCCTGAGATCTAACATATACTTCTTTTTTCCACTCTAAAGACGTCCAATGGGAACCATAAGATAGTTATCTAATGCCCTGACTGATACTGCACTAAAGACATTATATCCTCCTCAGTTGCTTTAACAGGCTGATAAAGAAAGGATAATAAAATTGGCAGCAACAGATTAAGTGGAAGTATAGTACATTTCCCTTACAATAACTATTCTCCTCAGGCATAAGGGTAGCCTTGATTCTAATCCTCTAAAATAGAGAATTACAACATATGTGATTATTATAGAGTATTATTGAAGAATTACATTTGAGAGTTGCAAAAATTTGTGGTTTTAGAAAAAAATTGCAGATTTTTTTCTGCACATGAAGCACTCTAAACTCAGATTATAATGTAACTCCATAAAACTCTATTTATTCTCCTGTTGACAGGCATCTTGGTTTGAGATTAAATAAAAACCACTTTTTCTACATTTGTTTCTGATTAATTTGTAGTTTCTTTAAACTATTTCCAAAAGTCACAAAAATAAAAATACCAGTAATCTCTATTACTAGAATCTAAGAAGCAACGTTGCAAAGCAAAATTGCAAAGAATTCTTTCCCGTTTTCTTACTTTCCTAGCTTGAAGAACAAGATCAACAGATGGTACAGGCATCACCTTGGGGGAAATGCACCATTGCTCAAGTATGTATTTGTATAACCCTGGTCATTTAACATGCATATTTATGTAGAGCTGTGTATGATCACATATCCCACATTGTATTTGGTACACCTTATTCTGTTGGTTGGAAGTCAATTATTTTATACTCCTTCCACTTCAACATTGCCAAAAGGTCACAGCAACACTAATATTTTATAAAGATCCTTGATGTTAGAAGAGGCAATGGTCCAACTGTCCTATCAAAGACGGTACAACTGTCTTATCCTCGTGTACTTCCCTACACATCTAAACATCTTCCAGTTCAGTCAGCTAAACATAACACACTCTGCCTCGCCTTATCGCCCAAGTAATGGAGAGCAAATGCCACCTTCTGTGTCACACATGAATCATCTACTTTTTTCTTGACTATACTAACTAAAAAAGCTCTGATCACCTGAGCTTTCCACGAAGGCAATTCTTCTCTGTTTACACCATTGCAACAGAAACCCTCACTGGTCAACATTTTCATAACACATCTAGATAACAGCATTAAAATGACCTACAAATATACCACCTTTCCAACTCAAATGTTAACTTTAAATTGGTTTTAGCTTTAAATTTTAGTGGTTTCCAATGCCTATCATATATAAATACACTTAAGCGAGCTTAAAAAACACTCTCGACACAACTGGATAACAATAGTGACAGCAGAGCCCACAAACACCAGTATCAGCCTGCTTGAGCTCCGTGTTTTCACAGCTTTGTCAAGATCATAAATGCATTTGCTTTTTTTGCTTTTTCCCTCTGAAAATCT